CATTTATCCACATTATTCTGCATTTGCCAAGTATTTCCCCACTCAGCCAGTCTGTCCAAGTCACCCTGCAGCCTCTAGCATCCTCCTCACAGCACACACTGCCTCCCAGCATGGTGCCGTCTGCACATTTGGAGATGTTGCATTGAATTCCCTCGCCCCAATTGTTAATGTATGTTGTGAACAGCTGGGGTTCCATTCACTGAACCCTGTGGTACCCCACTCATCGCTGCGTGCCACTCTGAAAAGGGCCCATTTATTCCAACTCTCTGCTTTCTGTCTGCCAGCCAGTTCTCTATCCATGTTAATCCATTGCATCTGATACCATGAGCTTTAATTTTCCTTCTTAATCCCTTGTTTTGAACCTTGTCAAAAGCCGAATGAAAGTCCAGATACACAACATCTACTGATTCACCCTTGTCCACTCTACAGATCACGTCCTAAAAAAATTCCAGAAGATGTGTGAAGCATCATTTCCCTTTAGTGAATCCACGCTGGCTAGGACCCATTCTGTCACCGCTTTCCAAATGCTCAGTTATTACATCCTTAATAATTGACTCCAGCATTTTCCCCACCATCGATGTCAGGGTAACTGGCTTATAATTCCCCATTTTCTCTCTCCCTCCATTTTTAAAGAGTCGGGTTACATTATTTACCCTCCAGTCCATTGGAATTCTTCCAGAGTCTACAGAATGTTGGAAAATGATCATCAATGCACCTGCTATTTCTCGGGCCACTTCCTTTACCACTCTGGGATGCAGAACATCAGGCCCTGGGGATTTATGGGGTTTTAATCCCATCAATTTCCCCAAGACCATTTCCTGACTAATAAGGATTTCCTTGAGTTCCTGCTTCACGCTTGACCCTCTGATCCCTAGTATTCCTGGGAGGTATTTGTGTCTCCTTAGTGAAGACAGATCCAAAGTATTTGTTCAGTTGGTCTGCCATCTTTTTGATGTTCATTAAGACTTCACCTGATTCTAACTGCAAGGGACCTGCATTTGTCTTCACCAGTCATTTTCTCTTCACACATCTATAGAAGCTGTGTCTAACTGATGGGGTTTTCTGATATTTAACAATATTTACGTAACAGCTAATGGACCTTTTAGGTACTTCACCCTTTCAGCCCTTTGACCCTGACATGACCTTCAACACAATTGTGATTGATAAACACTTTGATGCTTTTTACCCAGCCCATCACCATAACCTGTACAGCACTGAGAATCAGAACTCTATCAAGCTCTGCCTGAAACCAGAGACTGAGTTTTCACAGCTGTCTGTGGTAGAGAATTCCAAAGATTCACAACATTCTAACTCAAATCATTTCTCTTCATCTCAGTCCTAAAGGTCAGCTGCCTCATTAAATTGTGTTCCCTCGTGCTAGACTCTCCACTCCCATAGTGGAAACATCTTGCCAGACCTACTGAATTTCACCAGCACTTTGTGTTTGTTTCAGATTTCCAGCATCTGAAATATTTTGCTTTAATTCCCAGCATATTAGCCTGGGACTTTGGATTAATATTTCAATGACATAGTAAAGGAGAGAATTGATTTAAAAAGTAAATTGAAAAGAAATAGAAAAACAAACAGCAAGATTCAGTGGGCATATGAAAAGAAAGAAAGTAGCTAAAGTAAGTGTGGGATCCTTGAAGATCGCAATTATGGAATAGGTAATGGGGAATAGGGAAATGGCAGATAACTTAAACTAATATTTTGCATTGGTCTTCACAGTGGAGGACTATAAGCTCTCAAAGATATTGGAAAAGCAAAGTGTGAATGGGAGGGAAGGTCTTGTAACTGTCTCTAACACAAGGGACAAAGTATTTGACAGAAATACTCGTTCCAGTGGATTGGAAAACCACATCCCTGAATCAGGAAACTATAAGCCAGTAAGTCTAACGTAAATCATTGGGAAATTGTCAGAGTCCATTATTAATGAAGAAATGGCAGGCCATTTAGAAGAGCTTAATATAATCAAACAGAGTCAACATGGTTTTGTGAAAGGGGAAATCCTATTTGACAAATTTTCTGGAATTCTGAGGACATAACAAGCAGACACGATAAAGGAGAACCAGTCAATGTTGTGCATTTGGAATTCTAAAAGATATTTAATAAGGTACCACATAAAAGGCTATCCTACTAGACAGAAGCTCATTGTATTGGGGGGAATGTTTTAGCATGGATTGAGGATTGGTTAACACACATAACTCTTCCCCAGGATTAATGTCTTTATCAAGGTGGAATGATGTAATTAATGGAGTGCTCCAAGGATCAGCCCTATAGCCTCAATATTATTGACTGAAAGGACGGGTCACAGTGTAATGTGTCACAATTTACTGATAACAGAAAAATATGTGGGAAGGCAGGTTGTGATGAGAACAAAAGGAATCTGTGAGGGGACATTGAAAGGTTGAGTGAGCGTACAAAAACGTGGCAGATGGAGTTTAATATAGGAAAGTGTGAGGTCATGCACTTTGTTAGGAAGAATCAAAAGGCAAATTATTAGTTAAGTGGAGAGGGACTGTAAAAAAAAGGGCAGCGCAGAGGGACCTGGGTGTGAATCAGAAAAGGTTAGCACATGGGGACAGCAAGTATTTAAAAAGGCAAATAACAATTCATGGCTCAGGGTCAAGTTGTGGAGAGTGGGACTCGTGGAAATTTAGAGTGGATTTTGCTGATGCAGACTCAATGGGCTGAAGGACAACTTCTACACTCTGTGATTAAAATAGAATTTTGGTCTTTATTGTTGGGGGAGTGGTGTTTGAATTTAAAAACAGGGAACTCCTGTTAAAACTGCACAGGGCATTGGTGAGGCCACACCTGAAGCACTGCGTGCAGTTTTGGACATAGTGTAGATCTCACACTAACATTTCCATAGTGTTATCATTCATGTAGATAACTACATTTATTGATTCTGATTTCTGAAAGTTATTCTCCTTTTCGACCTCTTTCAACTTTTATCTCCGGATGTCCTTTTCTGGAGGATTTTGTTCACGGTACTTGGTCTGTAATTGGACTGAGAGGAAGAATGGCATTAAACTGAGTGGGATACTGATCCTCTGACAGTGCGGCGCTCCCTCAGCGCTGACCCTCCGACAGTGCGGCGCTCCCTCAGCGCTGACCCTCCGACAGTGCGGCGCTCCCTCAGCACTGACCCTCCGACAGTGCGGCCCTCCCTCAGCACTGACCCTCCGACAGTGCGGCCCTCCCTCAGCACTGACCCTCCGACAGTGCGGCGCTCCCTCAGTACTGAATTGACATATTGTTCAGGGTTGGTGTTGAATGAGTTGGAAGCACAGCTGCCTGACAAAGGAGCAGTGCCCCGAAAGCTTGTGATTTCAAATAAACCTGTTGGACTATAACCTGGTGTCAAGTGATTTCTGACCTTGTCCACCCCCGTCCAACACCGGGACCTCCACAGTGTGGCCTGTGTCGCCCTTCAGTTTTACAGAGACTGTGTTGTCTTTGCTGCACTGTTTGACTTGGACTTACTCTCCACTGTATCTTGCTCTACGTGTAAATTTGTCTCTGTTCTAAACAAGGGTCCTGTTCCATTGAAAGGGAAGCTTTTGGAGAGAATTCTTAGGGATAAGATTTACGCACATTTGAAAAAGCATGGCCTAATTAGGGACAGTCAGCATGGCTTTGTGCAGGGCAGGTCATGTCTTACTAACCTGATTAAATTATTCGAGGAGGTGATGAAGGTAATCGATGAGAGTACAGCAGTGGATGTTGTCTGCGTGAATGTTAGTAAGGCTTTCGACAAGGTCCCTCGTGGTAGATTCATCCAAAAGATTAAGATGCATGGGATCTATGGTGACTTGGCCACTTGGATTCAGAATTGGCTTGTGCATGGAAGGCAGAGGTTCGTGGTGGAAGGGTATTTTTCTGGCTGGAGGTCCGTGACTAGTGGTGTTCTGCAGGGATCCGTTCTGGGACCTCTGCTGTTTGTAATATATATAAGTGACTTGGATGAAAATGTAGATGGGTGAGTTAGTAGTTTGCAGACGATACAAAAGATTGGTGGGGCTGTGGATAGTGTAGAAGGTTGTCAAAGGATACAGTGGGATATAGATCAGTTGCAGAAATGGGCGAAGAAATGGAAGGGAGTTTAATCCGGATAAGTGTGAGGTGCTGCACTTTGGGAGATCAATTGTTTTGGAAACATATACAGTTAATGGCAGGATCCTGAACAGCATTGATGTACAGAGGGATCTTGGGGTTCAAGTTCATAGCTCCCTAAAAGCGACCATGCAAGTAGATAGGGTGGTTAAAAAAAGGCATATGGCATAATCGCCTTATTGGTCTAGAAATGAGTACAAGAGTCTGGACATCATGTTGCAACCTTATAAGACTTTGGTTAGGCCACACTTAAGAGTATTGGGTTCAATTCTGGTCACCACATTACAAGTAGGATATGGAGGCTTTGGAGAGGGTGCAGAAGAGGATGCTGCCTGGACTGGAGGGTATGAACTATGAGGAGAGCTAGAAAATCTCACGTTGTTTTCTCTGGAGTGGCGGAGGCTGAGGGGGAGACTAGATAGAAATTTGTAAAAGTGTGAGACGCATAGATAGGGATGATGGTCAGAATATTTTTCCTGGAGTTGAAATGCCTAATACTGGGGGACATGCATTTAAGGTTAGAGCGGGGAAAGCTCAAAGGTGAAGTGAGGGGCAAGTTTTATTAACAGAGAGTGGTAGGAATCTGGAATGCGCTGCCAGGGGTAATGGTGGAGGCAGACAGGATAGGGGTGTTTAAGGGACTCTTAGATAAGCACATCAATGTGCAAGGAATGGAGGGATATGGACCAGAGGCAGACAGAAGGGATTAGTTTAATTTGGCCTCATGTTCAGCACAACATCATGGGCCAAAGGGCCTGTTCCTGTGCTGTACAGCTCTATGTTCTATGTTCTATGCTTTTTTCTATGAAATCCCCTGCCCACTCTCCACAGAATTGTCCTGATATGATGATGTTCCTGAAATCTGTTGTGATGTTTTGTAGGAGCTGGTGCCTGGGGAGAATGGTCTTTGTGGAGTGATTGCTCACGAAGCTGTGGGGATGGTGTGCGATCTCGAAGCCGGCTTTGTGACAGCCCCCCTCCCCAGGGAGATGGGGATTTCTGCGAGGGTCTGAGCTCTGGAACTGAGCTGTGCCACAGGGAACACTGTCCAGGTAAAGGTCAGAGTGAAAACCGCAGGGTCCTTTCATTTCTCAGGCCATTCACTTCTCTGTGTCCCACTCAGAGACAGGTTGGGAGCTGAAAGTTGGAGCACAGATTTACAAGTGGATCCTGAGGTCCATAATGGATCCTCTTTGGGAGGATCAGGATGATGTCTGTAGAGGGCACCAAGTGAACATGGAATATTTAATGAGATCTTACTGATAGTAAACTCTGAGGAAAAGTAATCTAAGAGATCACCGGGAGGTCACTGTGACACAGTAATAGTTATCGACAGGGTGAAGAAATTCTGAACAACTGACTCTGATTAGAGTGGATCCCAGGAAGTGGGATCTTCTCTCGATCTGGAGGAGGTGCCAGGGGATGGTTGAGTGCATTAATGGAGTGATGGGGCCCTGGTCTCACCTGTTCACCCTGAGATTTGCTCCATCTTCATTCTATTCCAGCGGTCAACTGCTCTTCAATTGTGGGCTCCGTCTACCACCAATGTGGGCCCTCCTGCCCCAGGACCTGTGATGACCTCACGGTGAGTAAAACACAAATCATTGTTTCCCCAAAATTCACTTCAACTGAGGAACCACCTGGAATACCACTGACCGTCCAATCAGAGCGAGGCCACTGAACGTCCAATCAGAGCGAGGCCACTGAATGTCCAATCAGGGCTAGGTCATTGACCGACCAATCAGAGCGAGGCCACTGAACGTCCAATCAGAGCCAGGCCCCCGACTGTCCAACGAGAGTGAAGCCACTGACCGTCCAATCACTGATCACACACGGATGGGGGTCTGGGTTGGGGTCTGAGTGGACATTGGTCAGGTGACTGACTGGGTCAGGGTGGACACTGACGGGTCGGGAGGGGTCTGAGTCAGGATGTGGTAGTGTAATGTCACTGGACGAGTAATCTAGAATCCAGGTTAATATTCTGAGGACATGATTTGAATTCCACTATCGCAGATGGTGAGATTTAAATTCAATAAAATCCAGGAATAAAAAGCTCCTCTAACATGATCATTTAATCATTGTCGATTGTTGGAAAAACCCATCTGGTTCGTTAATGTCCTTTAGGGAAGGAAACTGCCATCCTTACCTGGTCTGGTCTAGCATGTGACTCCAGACCCACAGCAATGTGGTTCATTCTGAGCTGCCTCCTGAATAACCACCTGAACCAACTAAGGATGCCCAATAAATGCCAGCCTTCACCTGTCACCATGTCTTTTTTCTGACAAACTGCTGCAAATTTCCTTCCCTAATGGACATTAATCTCACCATCTCTCACCATCACTGCATTTCACCATCACCATGTCTCACTGTCTCTCACTGTCACCATCTCTCATCGTCACCATCTCTCACCATCACCATGTCTCACTGTGTGTCACCGTCACCGTCTATCACCATGTCTCACCGTCACTGTGTCTCACTGTGATGGTCTCTCATTGTGACGGTCTCTCATTGTGATGGTCTCTCACTGTGACGGTCTCTCACCGTCACTGTCTCTTACCGTCACTATCTCTCGCCGTCTCTCACTGTCACCGTCTCTCACTGTCACCGTCTCTCACTGTCACCGTCTCTCACCGTCACCGTCTCTCACCGTCACCGTCTCTCAC